TTAATATCACAAAAAATCACAAATTAGTATAACTGTGACAAATTTACCCTCCATTAGTTTCCATTAAATTTTACTGTCAAATTACTGAGTTGGATGATACGTAACAGTTGACGGGTGTATCAGTTTAGGGTTTTACCCACAGATCTACCAATTGATGATTTTTCGTGATATTAATTCAATTTAACGGGGGGAAATTTGTCACAAATGTATCAGTTTAGGATTTTTTGTGGTCAAAAAATTAGTTCATGGTAAATTTGTCACTAGTGTACCAGTTTAGGATTTTTTGTGGTAAAAAAATTAGTTTATTGTCACAAATATACCGGTTCGAAGTTTTTCGTGATATTAATCCGTTTTTTTGATCATATATCGTGAAGACGTACCTCCACCCTTTAGCTTTAACAAATAAATTTACGCAAAAGTAATGTAAGGTTGGATCCGCCGGGATGGCCACTAATGAGCAACTGCTTAGCGTCTCCTAGGTTTCGTCCTTATCAGGGTAGTGGTGATTAGATCTCCTCATCTAGGAGATTAATTTAATCTAAAAAATTCCTTAATTAAATCTTCTCCCACTCCTTTTTTTATATTTTTTTATAAAATATGCGAGGTTCTTTTTATGATGGATGCACCAACAAGAAGTGGGGACGGACGGGGGCGGGGGTTGTGGAGTTCCTTCCTATAGATTAATTATTATTAAAACATTAATGACAAAGTTAATGTTCTTGCTTGCTATATACTATGGTAGGTCAGACAAACAACATCTCGTCGTATATGTTAATTGAGATCATCTAATGCGTCATTAAGCCATGTCCCGGATTGCTAGCAGTCTTCGCCGGGCACGAGCCGACGGAAGCTAAATCCGCCATGCTCTCCCCTAAGAATCTCAACTATTGTATAAGGTAAAAAAGAAAAAAAAATACCACCTATTTTTAAGGGATCAAATTTTTCTGCTTCTCCAAAATATCCTAAATTTCAGTTTTTTTATTTTTTTGACAATCTATCTCATTATTCTAAATATTGCTCATAATCTTCAAGAACAACCTTACCTAAGAAAGTTCAAATATTGAAATGTTTTCTCTTTTTATGAATATATTTCATATAATTCATGCTTACTCAATAATTTCTTTGCATTAACTAATACTTCAATAATTTCATAACAATTTTTTTTCAGTCTTATCTTATTTTAATTTTCAACTCACTCTCAGATTTTCACCCTGCCTCCTTGCAGAGTGTAGGAGTCGAAACCCACAACTAAAACTAAACGTCCCACTCCCAACCTCCCGAAACTTCCCACCTTCTCCTTCCCATTTGAGAAAGGTGGTCATTGGGGCGACTCCCAATGATTTTCGTAACAATTAAGATGACATCTTTTCAATGGGTAACATGTCGTTCATCTTGAGAGGTACGCCAATCTCTAATCTCTCCGTACCCGATGTCTCAAAACACGTGACTCCCGTTTTAGCAGATTCGAACTTACAAGTTACAAGCAAAGTCAATAAACGGCGTGTAGCCTCTTTCTCTCTCTCTCTCTCTTGCCTTTCCATTTCTAATAGAAGAAAGAAACCACCAAAGAAAATCAGCAGCTTGGCCATGGAAAGGAACGGATACCCACAATTTAATATAATATATAAAATATAATATTTTAATTTTTTCTGAAATTTTCTAAGGTTCGTGGGGAAGTACAGCTAAACACGCCGCACGAGATGATTTTATTCTTGTTTTTCCAACTTGCAATTAAATTGATAAAAAAAAAACTTGCAATTAAATGTCGACATAGTCAACTTTAAATGAAGCTTTTGTAAATATTATGGTTTTGAATCGCCGGCCTAAGTTGCGTGTCCCCCGGTTTGCTGCAAAGGTGGTCTTTTGTTTCTCAATTTTTGGTGTTCGAGGGTGAGAATTTGAAGGAAAATGAGTACTATGTAACCTTTAAAAATTAGCCAAAAATGATCAATTTGATGCCCTTGAGTCACTGTCGAATTCAAAGGAAAATGAGTACTATGTAACCTTTAAAAATTAGCCAAAAATGATCAATTTCACGCCCTCGGGTCGTTATCGGATTCTAAACAATCCCTGTACTTTGCGCGGCGCATGTTAGCAGGCGTGGCTATATGCTCTTGGATGCTAAGCTCTGTCTGATTAGCAAGTCGGGCACATGCATAGTTCAATTGCTTGTCTACATCTGTGTAAAGTATTCGTATGTTTTTTTGAGTTCGATAAATTTGATGATTTCCATGCGAAAGAGAGAATGCTACTGGAATGTGATTGCTCTTTGTTATTTTATCTATTGAGATCAGGCATTTTAAGTAAAGTGTCAAATCGTGAGAATTGACAATGATGCTAACTAGAGCATTGACTTGATGGAGACTTGAGCGGGCAGCAACCTCCCTCTGAGGCTTGTGTAATTAAAATAAGATAAAACTCGTGCTCTTTCTTGGTGAAGCCTAATAAATGTTCGCATTATCGATTTCATACCGTGAGGAAAAAAACAAAAACAGATGCTTTGTCGTATTCTTGCTTGTAGCTCTAGAAAATCGAGCAAATTTTATTACCCTTGTACCCCCCGAATTTTAAATTAATTACTTCGGCATCCTCGATAATTTCAAAATGGGAAAACGACATAAAAAATCTTTAAACTTTGACTTAACGTGCAATGTCGTCCTTGAACTTTTAATTTGTTCAATATTATCCCTTAAATTTTATTAATAATTCAATTTAGTTCCTAAACTATATGAAAAATGTTTAATTGATGTCCTTCGATGTAACTTCGAATCCATTTATTAACCATATAAGTTATCTATCTCAAATCAGGATATAATAATTTGTGTCATCAAATAAAGATGGACATGTTAACACTTTAATTTTTTTTTCCTTTTTCTAAAGTAAATGGCTAGAAAGATAGACATGTTGACTCATTATTTTCAAAAATCCAACTCAGCATATAAAAAAAAATTGCTTTTATCGGATAACGTTCGATTTGTCATTTAAGCATATGAGATGGTTATATTGAACATTTACCAATAGTTCAGGAACTAAATCGAACATAATAAAAATTTAAAGACGACATTACACGTTAGGTCAAAATTCATGAACCATTTTTATCATTTTCCTTTTATTTTTGTATTGATTAGCTCTTTATTCATTAGCTTGGCATTAAGAGATATAATATCCTCGATTCGAAGCAAACATATGGAAATGCAAGTTATTAAGGTGCTCATCATAATTTTCCCATTTTTTTCAAAATTTCAAGTAGTTTTATTGTTGATGCTAATGTGGAAACTAATTTCGAGTTTAGGGCCCTTTACCAATGTAAGCAGGCCTTTATGAGTTTAGTAGGCCATGGAGATTAGTGGGGTTCAATAGCAAATGCGCTTGTCTCCTTAACCCAGAAATGCATTCTTAGCATTGGTGAGATAGGATGAATTTGTTTAGTTGTGTTTTTAATTCGACTTTCCTTGTCTATCCAAAATGGACATCTTGAATATATTTCTATTATACGCTTTTATCGAACTTCGTTTATTCCAAAAATATATATATTCTCCGCGAATTGAAATTGTACTTTTATAATGAAGATATTATGCTGTTGGATCTTACTATTGCACACAATTCATTCATCATAAACGGCGATTACAGAAGATACTGCATAGTAAAGTTCTTGTTTTCCTAAATTTAAGTAAAATTATTCTTAAATAGGTATTTAATCATCTCTTTATGCATGCGGTGCTTTTTCAATCTTGCACTTAGAAATATCTATTAAGCAATTAATATGTAAAATTACTATGATGGCCGTGCCTAATACTTTTATTGAATCTCAATCACAAAAACTTCATAATTCAAATGCAACTCTGTTCACGATCTTTTCTATTTCAATAGAATATGTAAGAATGATTATAAAAAAATAAAACAACATTTACAGGTAAAATTCACACGTGCTCGAGCCACGGGACGCACCGCATGTGCGAGTTTTTACGCAGATCTCGCGTAACATTCTTCTAACCCTTTACCCTCAAGTAACAATTTTTGTAACCCTTCACCCTCTGAACCAATCCTCGAGTTAATGGCTTGCCATATTGACAATAGGATCCATGCAAATTTAGCAAAAAGAAGCAAGACAAACATAGAATCAAACATCCAATGTATCTTTTCAAAAATGTTCAAGTCATTTATACTGTCCATAAAGGAAAGAAACAACAAACGGATAGGATGACAAAAAAGCTCAAATTGGTCACCCGACTCTCTAGAATTCTTGCTAGTCTTGATTGGAAATTTATCCAAGAAGAATCTACGATGGCAAGTGGCTCCACGTCTTTGAGACTATCTCACTAAGTATATCTTACCACATAAAGTAAAATTCGATCTTTATACGGTAGGTTATCTCAAGCGTATATAGTTTTGTCGGAAAGACTATTATTTTTCATTTTCCTAATTACAGTCGGTGACATACCAAAGACGGCCGAGACTCAAATGGAAGTAGACTTAGATTTTGTTCTAAATTTGTCTTTTTGAGAGGGCACTGCCTAAGGCAGGCCAGACACAGGGCAAAAGCAGATGATATACCAGTATGGAAATTTCGAAGACCTCATCTCTACAGAGGTCATTTCGCCGGTGATAATTTGTGTTTGGCATGGATTTCTTTGCCTTGGATCAAGTCATGAAGAGAATGCTCGAGGGTGATGATCGAAGATGGGTTTTTTTCAGTTGAAGTCGTATTTTAAACTCGTGCTCGCGTCTCGTGAAATCTAGAGTTGCACAAACTCCTACAGCATCAAACGACATACATGGTCTTTGCGACAATGAATTCACAAACCCAAGTTCAACAAACCAGATAAGAAAAACAACAGAACATCACTGAAACCCTTACATCAGGCAAAATTCTAACCTAGACAATCAAGTACATCAATGTCTCGAGACACAAAAGATTCATCTGAACTGAGTCTAACTAAGAATTTCCCTTAATTATTCGAAACAAAAGAAAATACCATCTAATTCAGCAAAACTTAGGGCTAGTTGTTTCCGTCGCTTCCACCAGCATCAGCTCCAGCATTGTTAGGAGGCATCGGTAACTCGTCTCCGGTGTTCCCTGGAGGCACCACCTCACCATATCCACCATGGTCTCCTCCTTGAGAACGAGTACCAGCGTTTCCTTGATTCACGCTAAAGCCATACGAGGCACTGCTGGCATTAACATTTCCACGAGGGTGTACCACGGGTTCACCGACCATATCATTCCTACGATACACTCCCATCCCAGAACCACCACCGGTTGCTGCAGGAAGCACCATCCCCTGGCCACTATTAATGCCTCCAGGATTCTCCTGCGGTTGCATTGCAGCATTTATGATGTTGTTGTTGCTTCTATGTATCCCTCCATGAGGAAACATTGCACCATGTCCACTGCTGCTTCCGCCAACCTCCCATTGATAGGGAGGCCCCATTGCATATCCATATGCACCACCAATACTGCTACCTGGAACATCTCCACGAGCAAACCCTACAGGAAGTCCACCACTCATGTTCCCAACATATCCTTGGTATGGCATCACAGGATAATTGTCCCAACCATAGACAGGGCCTCCCCCATGCCCTAGGTTGCCACTTTCGACTCCAACATTCACTTGTGGCAAGTTGGCAACGTCATGGCTAGATGTACCAGCACCACCGGTTGAATATGCCAAAGGATATGAGGTATCTCTTTTGCTGACGCTGCTTCCAGCAACACTACCACTTTGCTTCATCATATCCAAGAACCATTCATCCCATGAAGAAGCATCACCCCCTCCGCCACTGCCATCGCCACCAACACTGCCAATGTTGGCCTCTGGGCTTGTCTCCTCCTCCTCCACTGGGCCTTCGACTGCCAATGGAGCACCTCCTGATTGGGGTGCATCATCCCTTTGCTCGATATACCTAATCCTTCTTTCAATTTCTGCAATTTTCTCATCCGTATACTTGAGCAAACTGTCCAGCTCAGATGATCCAAGTTCACTGGTTGTCTTCTTGTACAGATAAAGTTGCTGCATGAGATAGTGATTCTCCAAGTCGTTATTCTTCCGCTCAAGCTTTTTGTGTTGCTCGGCGAGCTTGCTGTTCCTCTCCCTGAGGTACATTTCTTGATTCACCATCTTCCTGCTTCTCTCAATTTCAGGGATGCTCAGGTACCGCATAAGGAGTCGCTCCACGTCAGGTCGAGATGCCGGCCAAAAGGCAGGCTCGTTGTCATCTGGAGACAAGACAACCGCACACGTTTCCACACCGCATAGAATGCTCAATTCGCTCACTTTTTTCAACAAACCTTGCCTCCTTTTCTTGAGGCAAGATTTTCTGGCACTATCATTTTCAATGAAAGCAAGCTTTACCTTCTTTCTTGCCATGCTTAGTGGCTTTCTGGGCTCTCCCTCTCACATGATCTGAGGCATAAGTAGTGCAAGAGCATTTATAGGGAGGTGGTCAAGTTCAACAGGCATTCTTCAACTTTCAGGCAACTAATTAATGCCTCTTTTCCGACCAAAAAACATTAACGCCTCTTTCCATTTTGATTAAATTTCAGGGATATGAATACGAGAATCCAACTTCATTACCAAATGACAGGATTTTCGGTCAAACCTGCATTACAAAACCTTTCCATTTGAAGACCAATGATCGGAGGTACAGAAGGGTACCATATTTGGATTAGTTTTCCCTACATATTTCATGTCATAACTTGATATGCAATTTACATTAATCATTTGCTCCGATAAAGACTATATTAAGATCATCAAGTTACAGATTACCAATTTATCTATCGTTGACCGTCGACCGATAATTATTATTTTCTTGGCAAGGGGTCGCTTTTCTTCCACGGCTCCCCGCATTCGGCTCTAGATCTTCGGAGGGATAAGAGTGTCCTTAAATATTTATATTCCAACGTATACGCACTAATTATTTTTCTCTTTTTAAGATGAAAATCAGACTTTCATATAGTAATAAATCAAACTACAAAATCTAGCACGTTAGTGAATGCTTCTTGGAAAAAAATTGAAAATTCATCAAGTTCTTGCCATGAATGTTGGCGAGCTCTTTTTCCTTTTCTTGCCTAAATTACTATTCAAGGTTAGGGAAGCCTTATTTAAACCAATATGGAAATTACGCGTAGATTTATACCAAAATTGCTTTTCATACAATTAGGTCAATACCTTTGAGAAAGTAAGGTTAAGCTATGTAAAAAAAATTGAAGTCACGAGTGCAGGGATGGATCTAGAAATAGTTTCTTTTAACAGTGAATTAGAAGGATGTTTCTTGTAATGAGGGTTTTGACGTAGAAGACAATGCGTTTTTCTTAAAGGAGATTATATCATTAGAAACTTAGAGCGTAACTCCATAATGAAAACATAAGAAATTCTACAAAAGATCAAAGAAACAACTGAAGTATGAAAGTTTCGAAAATCTTAATAATTGTTTAATAAATGGTAAAATTATGTCTTCTCATAGCATGAGGAAATTTTTCGATATGATATTAAACATAGGCACATGAGATCATTTATTTATTATACCCGTGGAACAAAAAATAAGGATTTTTCTACTATGCATCACCATGTTTGTAAGTTCTTAAATTTTTTTCAAGAATAAAAGGTAGATTGTGCGATTCTAATATTGAAATGCTATTAGATTATTTGTCATTTTTGGAACGATTTGTTTGAGAGAGAGCATGATAAATAGATCTTCTTATTTTGTAGAACTAAGTGGTAGTGGGTGATTAACTACATTGGGAGGCGGCGTTTAATAAGTAAAATTCAATATCTCCGAACGGTTATTTAAGAAATCTCTTAATTTTATTAGCGTGTATTGTCACTTTTTTGAAATTCGTATTCTTATTCTCTACTAAAAATCATCCAAATTCTAAACGAATCGGACCCGCGCATGAACTATACTTGTTTATTACTATCATACTCTCACTTCTAAAAATAAGTTTAACTCAGGGAAGTATTTGTGGGTAACGATGACTTCTGCAATATTTCGGTTACGACCTCATAAATTTAGGACAATTGAGTTGAGAAAAGATGGGACATGCCAAAATTTAATCGACGACAAAGATTTGAAAACTACAATTAAGATATACAACGGAATATAATAAACAATGAGATATCTGAAAAACTACGACTAAAGTGTGGGAATTGAAAGATAATTGTAAGGTACATGAATTGAAAAATAATAGAAAGATAGCAGGTTTTTTATTTATTGATCAGGCGTTCATAAAGAGTACAATGTGGCTATTTAAAACTTAAAACTTAAAATCAACGCCACAAACGGAGGTTACAAAATTCAAATAAATAAATAACTTCTCAAGGGTTACAAGAAGTTATATTATCCACAAGAAGTTACTCCATTTAAAAGAGCTTAAATATTTAAAAATATCTAGCTACTAAGCAGCTACACATCGATGCCATGGCTTCAACCTCAGATAACCAATGTTTGCTATCGATATCTTGGATGATTTTCAAGTTGTCAGCACTTATCTAAAAGAACTTACATATTAGAAAATATCGCTACTAGGCACTTACATGTCGATATTGATGACTTCATCCTCAGATAGTTATTTACTGTTCTTTTCATCGATGACTTGTGATATTTATCAAACTCTATTCTCATCAACTAAGTCTATCACTTGTCGATAGTAACCAAAAATTGATCATTTTTTGGAGTAAACAAATTGAAACGAGTGACCTTTAGTTCTCAAACTGGGAATGCCCGATGCCCTAACCAGCCACATCAACCATGAGGTTGATTAACATAACATGAGACCACAATAATATGAGATATGATTGAAAATAAGATTGGCCATAAATGGGTTTTGATGGGAAAATTACCAAAACAATCTTAAACCTATTGCAATTGTGTCAATTCAGTCATAAATATTTTTTTGTGCCAATTCAGTTCTAAACCTTTTGCATTTGTGCCAATTCAATCCATTCGGCCAATTTTGTCCGACCAGTGCTGACGTGGCCGCCGGCCGTCCGGTCAACAATGACATGACAATTTTTAAATATTTTTAATATTTTATTATTTCCTTTTTTTTCTTTTCTTTCCCTTTCTTTTTTTTGGCAATCTGCCAAAGGCGAGGGCCAACAAGGTTGGCCCTGCCAACCACTACCGAGTCCAAGCCTCGCCAGTTGCCGGCAAGTCCAAACCTTGTAAGATCTGGCAAGGGCTCGTCCTTGCCGGCAACGGGCGGGGCTGACCTCACCCAATGCTAGCGAGCACTGCACGAGGTCGAGCCTTGCCAACGGCCTGCAGGGCCGACCTCACTAGGCCCCACTCTGGCCGATCTGGGGGAGGTCAAGCCTCGCGAACGGCCGGCGGGGCCGACCTCATTGGGCCCCACCTCTGGCTGGTCGCCAAACGACAATCGGCTAGAGGTTGAAGATGAAGGGAGAAAAAAAAAGGGAAACAAAATAAAAAAAAGAAAAATAAAATTATTATTAAAAAATTGTCAAGTTGGCCGGTCGTCATCCACATCAGCGTTGGCCTGCCAAAATTGGTCGGATGGATTGAATTGACACAAATACAAAAGATTTAGGACTGAATTGACACAAAAAAATGATTTAGGACTGAATTGGCACAATTACAATAGATTTAGAACTGTTTTGGTAATTTTCTTGGTTTTGATTGGTTTACCTAATCGTCACCCCAGGTTTACCCTTCCGGCTGTCGGCCGTGCGGGGGGTTCCTGGGTTATCAAAAAAAAAATATTGTTTTGTTAATACCAGTCAATGCTCATTGCAAGGACTTGCACAATTACTTTGAAATATTTCCGATGACAATGCTTTAGTGAGTGACTTTTTTTAATTTTTGGTTTAATTTTGCATGCATCATCATCAAATGATAATTCTATATAAGCATATTACGTTATTCCATTAATATTTTCCTGCAATGGGTAAGTGATTGATGATAGTTTATATGTTTAATACAAATAACCAATTCATTTAAATACGTTAGTAGTAATTCTAATCCATAAACTGTTGTAGAAATAAGCGATCGATCATTTAACTAGATGAAACATGGAAATGAATGGGATACCGGATTTACATGATTTGGTCGGGATGACATACATCCACAGGGAGAGCAGCAAAGACATTTATTATAGATCAAACAATACAATGAAGATTACAATTATGCTAGAGTCACTCAACACTCTCAATGTTTTCTAGCCACCAATTACACGCAGTAAACTCACGTAGTGTTTAACTTCACAATTTCTCACGAAATGATGTCTTAATCTCATAAAGGAATTCACAGATTTTACCATAAGATTTAATTGGCTTCAATGCACTTGAGATGTAATTCACAAATACAACTCCTCTTGGGTATTCTTCACAAAGATTTTTCATTTCTTATATATATAAATAAGATTGGATCCAAAATAGGGAATTCGTTTTTAGGAAACCTAATCAAACTAGGAAACCACTCAAACTTGGAAAAATCTTCAAAGTAGAAAAACTACTTTAATTAGAAAGTTTCTATTTTTAGCTCAAACTCGAAACATATTCTCAACATAAACAAATTAGGGTTTGACGTGGTTAACCCTGATGATAGTCTGGCCTTTGCCTTAAGAAGAAAGGGAAAAATGTCAAAAAAGTCTTCAACTTATTGTATCGGTACCAATTTAGTCATAAACCTTTTTTTGGGGCCAATTTAATACTAAACCTTTTGGCTGCGTTTGGTCATCTGGATTTCTAACCAGGATAGAACTGGATAGAATAGGATATGAAATCCAAGCGATTTGCTATATCCAATCTATTGTTTGGTGAATCGCAATAATAAAGCCAAAAATTTTCACATCGTACCGTATTCATTATTTGCTATGAACATTATATTAGTGTAAATAAACCTAAAAATTGCACAAATGGAGATGATAAAAATCTCTCACGACACTTTTACCTACTTCATTTTTATTTGCTTATTTTTTATTATTTTTCCATCTCTTTTTTAATTAATTTATTTTTTATTTCTTTTTCCACTTCCATCATTCTCTAATAAAATTTTATTAAATAGTAAACTATACTAATATACCTAAAATATTTAACAAATATAAATACTAAATGCATTTATTAATGTATATGACATTTATATCATAAGATAGGAAGAAAATTGAATATATAAATAAAAATAAGAATAAATAAAAACGAAATTATTTTTATGTTTTTGTTATTTTGAATTTTTTATATTAAAATTTAAATATTATTTATATTCAAATATTATTTTAATTTTATTAATTTAACAAGTTTGTTATTCAAGAAAAATAACTTTTATATTATGGATATTAGAAATCCTATCCACCCTTATCCCACCTCCCTCATAGGATAATTTTATCCGGGTTATATCCCTTCTATATCCGACTTTATCCTATCTTGGACAAGCACCAAACACTTGATAAAATAAAAGATATCATATCCTGAATTTTATCCTGACTACCAAACGTAGCCATTGTCTTTAAGCTAATTCAATCTTTCCTACTAATTTTGGCTGGATATTGATGACATAGATGATGGCTGGCTTACGTGGCACCGCCAGCGTTGACGTAAACAATTTTAATAATATTTTAATATGTTTATTTTTATTTATTTTATTTTTTCAAATTTTTTCCTTTTTTCTTTTTTCCTCCCTTTGGCGGTGATCGGCCACAGGCAATGGCCGGGCGGGCTGGCCTCACCCGGCTAGGCGAGGGTCACCGTCGACAGACCAGGCAAGGGGAGCCCTTGCTGGGGTTCGCCTCTCCTGGCGGGGCTTGCCCAGGCCACATCGGGCCTCACCTAGCTGGGCGAGGGCAGCCCGCCTGGCCATCACATGTGGCTGGTGGCCGGTCACCGACAAAGGGAGGAAAAAAAAGGAGAAAAGAATTAAAAATAGAAAAAAAAAATCAGAAAATTAAAAAAATATATCAAAATATCATAATATTATAAATAAAAAAATTTATCCACATCAGCGCCAGCTGGCATCCACGTCATCAATATTCAGTCAAAATTAGCTGGAAGGATCGAATTGGCACCATCAAAAGGTTTAGGACTAAATTGACACAAAAAAAGGTTTACAGCTAATTGACATCAATGCAATAGGTTTAAGACTTTTCTGACACTTTTCCTCAGAAGAAACAAATCTGCTCATTATATGCAAGTTGTAATGGACATTAAAAGGCTCTATTACACTATATATGGCATTAAATCCTAGCAGCTGGTCGCTATTAAATCATTTGCCTAAACTGAAAATTCTGAGTTGTAATCAAATCATTTTCCTAAACTCACAAAAAATAAAAATTCAAAGTTGTAATCAATTCATTTTCCTAAACTGACAAAAAATCAAAATTCTGAGTTGTAATCAAGTCATTTTCCTAAACTGACAAATTGTCAATTTAGGCAAATTGGAGAACTCCCGTAAACATAGCCACTCACCATTACTTCTGACTCACCCCCACCTCCCTATAAATGCTATTGCACGCATTGTGTTTCAGAGCACAAGAAAAAAGAGAGAGTTCGACAAACCAAATTATCCAAGGCAAGAAGAAAGGTTAGGCTTGCCTCCATAGCAAACAACAGTTCCAGAAAAGCTAGCCTCAAGAAAAGGAGTCGAAGGTCGTTGAATAGAGTGAGCGAGTCGGGCAATCGATGTGGTGTGAGTGCATGTGTGTTTGTCTGCTCCCCGGACGGCAACAAGCTCGTCTTTCGGACACCACCTCGATCAAAGGTGGAGCGTCACCTCAGGCAGCACCGGATCATCCGCGAAATGGAAAGAAGTCGAAAGACTATGAACCAAGAAAGGTATCTCAAGGAGAGAAACGCCAATCTCGTCCAGCGAAAGCAAAGGCTTATGGAGGAAAACAAGGGCAGTGAGAACATATCCATCTCCTGCGACAATTTCATATGTCCGGTAAGACAACTAACGGATTTACCACAAGTGAAATGCACAGGTTATCTTACTATGTGCAAGAGGGGAAGAAAGAAATCAAGAAAAGGATCGAGTTTCTTGCACAGGCTAACGGTGCACTTCGGTCGGGACATGCTCCACTACCAATCGAAGGCTCGGTGGGTGAGAAAGAAATGACTCTGGAAGGCAAAGGCGGCAATGGCGAAAACAAGGGAAGCATTGGTGATGCATCTTCTCCATGGGATAAGTGGTTCTCGGATATGATGAAACACAGTCGAAACGCAACTGGTGACAGCGACAACAAAGAGGATGCACTCCCTACTTTTGGAGAGTAGCAAGTAGAGACGATGGCGGCGCATGTTAGAGATACATTTTTAGGAAATTCTGCATATTTTCCTTGATTGGTCCTAGTTGAATGTAATCGATATTTTGCTATTTCAAATAGTCATCCTTTAAAACTTATAAATTGGTTCATGGTAATTTGCTGAATATTGCATTTTTCTCTCTTTAATCACAAATCTCAACATGATATCACAACTATTTGTTGTCTAAGGAAGTGCCCATCAAGTCTGTAATTAACAGAATATAAATCGATATTTTGCTTTGGGCAAGGGCCGTAACGCCCTCGCCTGTGGCCGGCGAGGGTCGGCCGGCCACCCTCCCTAGCCCTAACTCCAAAGCAAAACAAAAAAGAATAGAGAAAAGGAAAAAGAAGAAGAAGAAAATTCATTAAAAAAATTCAGAAAATTATTAAAACATTATTTAAATATATCCACATTAGCACTACGTGACCGGTCAGTGTCCATGTCAGTGATTTCGAGCCAAAATTGGCCGAATTGATTCAATTGGCAAGAAGTGAAAAAGTTTAGGATTCAATTGGCAAAATTGGAAGGTTTAGAACTGAATTGGTAAAAGTGCAATAGATTTAGAACGTTTTGGACAATTTTTCCTATCATGGGCCAAATGTCAAAAAAAAGAAAAAATCATGTGCTTATGCTCTAAGGACAATTTAGCCGCACTTTTCAAAAGTAACAAGAAGAAGCACGTGTTCTGATACGATGGACAGAACTGTCCACACTTTTCGCGGAAACGAGCCTACGTGCACGCAGAAGTGGCAAACGACACTGATGTTCATCATCATTTCTGGTATTCGCACCTTTTTTTTTTCATTTATTGACATTTAAGTCTCGATTTCAGCTAGAATTTTTGTTTTGGGTGTTTGATGCGTCGGCCACTCTGCCTGGCTTTGGGTCATTTTGTTTCAATTTCGATTGCCAACCGCTCAGGACAATACCTTTTCTGATTACCGGCCGGGATGCCCTTACAGCGGCTAACAGCAACAGGTATTGCCTTCTACAAGACTCGAACCTATGATCACACTATTTGAGGCAAAATGTTGACGCCCGAGTCTTAATAGGCTTGACATCTTCCCAAGTATAAACTAATGCACTCCTCATCAACTGTCTCCAAGAGCTCACAAAGCAATCTTCCGTCTCCCTACTTTTCTTCCAAAATGTCAACAAGTCAGACTTTGGCATAACCATAATGTAAGTCTGAAAGCATTTGGTGAATGCAATTCGGATATCATCTTCTTGTTTGTCATTCACTGAATTACTACTAAACCGACACAACTGAAGAATGGGTTTCCTTCTCATAGTAAACATGTCAAATGCAGAAAGGTGTTAAACTCGACAATATATGTATCAAACACCATACCTCATTAGGTTTGGTAAATGCCGTGTGGTCAGTAACATTTCTACAAAATTGATGATCAAATTGTTTTTCACCGTTAAATGACAACACAATAAGCCATCTTTCTTTGCCAGTAGTGAACCCAATTTCAGACATGGCTACAAAAGAAAGGAACGACCTATGCAACATGATCACCATCTAACATGGACGACTCACATGGTTATGCATTATGAAGATTAAGCCGATAGAAAAACTGGTGAAAGACCAAAGATTGAATATTTTAGCTAGATATTCAAAACGAGCTACCAAGCAACCCTAACAAATAGCACATAGGTCATCTCTCTCTTCTCGCAAGTACATCAAGCTATCTTCTTTATTGATCCTCATACTAACACAGTACAGTTCATTCTACTAAATCGATATTTTAGGCCATTTCACATACAAAGCAGCATCCGTTACAGTTCCATAAGTTGTCACCAAGATGATCTTTTACAGTGAATAACATAAGGATAAAGACTGAGTAGGATTCACCTCAAACATTACAATATAATGTTTCAATGAGATACCATGCTGAAGAAAGCAAACATCGACGATCTGAAGACGACACTTTTTATGAACACAGCCTCAAAGCACAAGAATTTACAAACGAAAGACAGCAACAATTGTGAAAGGACACACATTGTACATAAGCGTTGTAAAATCTAAACAGGGAAGCATGATCAGAATATCTTGTTATATTGACTGGTGAGAGAGTCCCTTAAATTTGAATAAAGGCCATAGAGAGAGTATTGACGAAGGTTTTCCACTTCATACCATGAATTGAAAACTGAAAGGTGCTTATCCGTGCCGGAGAATGCCAACTGTATACCGAGGCTGCAATCCACCGAGCCCCCATGGTTTTTGCAATTGGAAGTTTTGATGGCACAATCCTGGTTGTTGAGGCACACAAAGTTGGACTTTCTCGAACATGAAGCACAGCCATCTCTTTTCCAGTATAGATTTTGCAATCTGCCCTTCTTAAACTCGAGCACCTAGAGTGTTGTGGCAACATGTCAAATGGACTCTCTAAAATAAAAGCAGTATAAGTATTACGTGATAGATAATATATGAATCATGGTTCCTACAAGAGTAAAGCTGGTCACGGTGTAGGTGCTGTTGGCAACGAAGGCAGGGAGAGACCTTGCAGCGTACTTTCGGCCAGCAAATGCAACCATATAACCTCCGTAATTGCCCTGCCACAGCGCAATGCAGATAAAGAAGATTATCACTTTACACCCTTAGTAAACCAGTCATGTTGATAGGACTCGAGATTGAAGAGTTTCCTCTGACAAACTCCAACGGAAGCCATAGAGAAACTTATTCTTCCCATCCAACCATGGTGCATTAGAGATTTTGTCAAACAAGATTTTCGAGATCTACAAATTCATGCCCGACAATTCCTCAAGGACCAGACCAAACTCAGGACAATAACACTCCCGCATATCAATCCCATCAAGAAACATCATAAATTTTCAGACTTCCCTACCCCGCAAACATGCCGGGACTAACTTGATTAGTGCATTAATTAAAACTCGTGTAAGCTCAGAAGCAGTAAATATCAACCATTGGCACTTGAAACGCAAGCACAGAGGATGCACCTGCCAATAACAGATCCATAACTCTAGTCCAATCGCAACATTTCCTCCATCCAATCATAGGAAACAGTTTCAGCCAACTCAAAGCACCAACAATTCAGAAGTCATTGCACTACATTAAGCCAAAATTGCCAGCCTAAGTATAATCTGAGCAAACATGCACGGGAAAAGGGAAGCAAGCACAAAATCCTCACTCGAACATGATTACCTCCAACCAAAACCTAAGGACTTCATCAACCGTTTGCTTTACACACCGAAAACATTCCGTGACCGATGTAAACAGTAACCGCAGAGAGAGAGAGAGAAGCAGACCGGAGAGAATGACGAAGTGTTAACGGTGAGGAGGGAGATCTCGTCGACCTTAGGCCGGAAAGTGGCGACCTGAGAACCGGCGGAGGAGAGGGAGAGCCTGCGGTCGCAGGGGGACAGCTGGAGCGAGCTGTTGTGGAAGAAGGACAGCCTCGGCGCGAAGGCGATGCCGAAGGTGAACCCGTCGGACCCCTGGACCGTGGCGTCGGCGCAAGGGGAGTAGACGCCGTTCGTGTCGGCCGATTGCGCCGGCCGCAGCGGCGACGAGGCGATCAGGAGCGCCAGCAGGGACGCCGCCGTCAGGAGGCGAGGCTGAGAGAATGCGGCCATCGATCACCCTTGCTCTGGTGAGTGCTGCAAAGAAACGATCTCGCCGTTCGTGGCGGAAAACTCATCGGCGGTGGAGAGAGATGGAGAACAGACTGTAATGGGCCCATGTGGGCCGCGATTATGGGCCGAGAGAGAATTTCGCAACGGACTGGGTTGGGCTGGGTAAAACAGGTGAATTCTTTTTTTTTTTTTAATTCTACGAGAGAAAATTTAGGTTCTTTAAAAGTTAAAGGCGATTGGTTCCGGGGGCGAGCGGTTCCCACCCCGAAACGGGAACCACCCACGAAGGGCTGGTCCCACGAATTAGGAATCGAGAACCGCCCATTAGGTTTCTAGACCGACCCGATAACCGAATCACTGATCTGATTCGTTTTCCGAGTAGGTCCATGGAACCAGCCATGCATTACAAGACTCCCCAGTTCCCATTTGGAAAGAAGATGTAGCGATGGTCCAAGCATGAGGGCGTTGGCGGTGGCCTGAACTATGACTGGAAGTGCGACGGGAAACGTCGTTAAAAACCTACAAAAACAACAGTCGCGAGGAAGGAAATTCAGTGAGCTGCTAGGCCTGATTGAAACTTGCCAAAAAAGCTGGGTTGTGACTAGCAATACGAGGTAGGGACAGCTCCGAAAACTTGCAAGTGCAGCAGTGATGAGAGCAAGGCGCAGCGCTGGCTAAGAACGTGCAGGAACAACTCTAGAGATTTGCCGAGCGTTCTAGGATCGTAGGTGAATTAAGGAACGGAGAGAGAGGGGCTAGAGCAACCCAATAGATGACATCAGCAAACGAAGAGTTGAAGTCGGAACAGTGCCGGTAAAACGCAAGAATCCAAAAGAGAAAACTTCCGTCTGCCCGCCGAGGAAAAGAGAGTCCTTTCTTCATAGCGCTCTCTGTATTACATAGTGTGTATGTCCTACGTAGCATGTCTCAGTCTTGCCACGTAGGACAGCCGATATCCACTTCATCGATTCCTAACCAAAATTGGATGTACATTAGCAAAGGTTGAGAACTAAATTGGCCAAATTGAAATGTTTAGGATTGAATTGGCATCCGTATAAAGTTTTTTTTTTGCAATTATCCCAAACATAGATGTCAAGTAGTACAATCATAGCTGAGAAAAAAGAATTTTAAGACTTCTAGTGGAAGGAGCCCTCCAAATAGTTTTCGTTCCTCACGTGCTATTTTGCTATTTCTATTGATAACATTAGCCCCCACTCATAGCTTTCAACGAAAAAGCTGTAAAGAGAGATTTCATGAAATGAGAACGCGCGCTTTCTGCTTCAATTTTCGTTCTTTCGACTTGGATAGCGTTAAACTAGGATGGTTGCTAGTCCTCCAGAGCATCCAAAACAAGCCATGTATACTTGCATGTTTCGTCAACAAAAGACAACTATGCACCCACCCTGTACCCCAACTTCCACGACCGTTGCACACTCCACCAAATCACAACCACAAAACGCTCTATTTTCGTGGCAAAAGTCTAGTCAACAACCATAGATCCGACATAGCTCACCACCACTACTCTACACCCACATGTCACAGCCGCTGGTAGTCAACCAGAGAAAACACTTTCGAACGTTGTCTGAGAAGCTGCAGTTATTAAACCTTCTGTTTGAGTGGTCGGAAGAAAGCATATCAGGTATATCAGTAAAATCAGGTGAGGATGACTTGTGTGTTGTATCAGTTCACGCCTAATCCAAGATGAGATATGAGGCTACCATACCAGATAGACCCTCTTAAGATTCCTGGAAATGGGTTCCTATGTGAAAGAGAATGACAATATTATACAAAGAATTTGAGAGAACTAAGATCTAGATCCCTTGAGAAATGATAAAATAAAGAATACGCATCCAGTAAACTATTTCTACTCAAAAAAAGAAAAAGAACAAGGAAAATAAAATCGAAGACCTGCCAACATATTCATCCCAGAATTGTCGTTCGATCGAGATCAATCCCTCCTACTAGCCAGCGGCACCACCTCTGCGAGTGGTGTCGACATCGGGGTAGGCATCGGAGAAGTCCGGCACACGGGGCACGTCGGGTGCATCCTCAGCCACGGGTCAATGCACTCGTGGTGGAACAGATGGCCGCAGTCGGGTATCATCCTCAGCTCATCGTGGCCCTTGTAGTCCGCCAAACATATGGAGCAGCAAGAAGCCGTCGAGGCCGAGCTCCTCAGCTTCGCCTCCGAGTAGAGCAGCCTCGGGTAGCTCTTTATGGTGTCCTCGTCGAGGCCCATGTTGACCACCACCGCGTCCCCCGCTGCCGCCCCCCTGCCGGGGGGCATCCCCAGGCGGTGGACGTTTATTATGTTACGCTGCTGGGGCGCCGGGTCGACGGTCCGGGTGCAGTAATAGGAGGCCAGGGTGATGGTGGTGATGAGGAGGAGGATGCCGACGGAGACGCCGACGCCGTAGCCAAACCCGCCAAAGTTGTCGGCCCCGAGGAAGCTGCCGGGCGAGCCGGTGGAGTTGTTCATCCTCCGCTGTCTCTTCCGGCGGCGCTAAGAAGCTGAAGAGGGGAGGAGGAGGAGGGGCAGATCGAGAGGGTTCGGTTCAGCCATGGTGGAGGCGACCCGGGGAAGCTGATCAGATCAGAGCGTTGAAGCTGCCAATTCGATCTGAGAAGTTGCAATATAAAAGATCCAAATCATGTTTCAAAGGAAAAGAAGGGGCAAAAGAAGGAGGAGAGAAAGTCAACGGTGACACGAGGTGGATGATGATGGTGGAGTTAATTTTAAAGGTGGGAGGAGGGGTGGATCTGGGGTCAAGTAAAGTGATGTGAGGCGATGCATGTGAATGCAATACGTTGCTTTTCCTCCTCCTCCTCCTAATCTTTTTCTGGTTGATGTTTTGAAATACGTTATGTAAGAATCGGGGGAGGCGGTCCACGGGGTTCGCTATTCTTTCGGTGTGTGTACGCGGCTGCTTCGCAAAGATAATCAAATGCTAAATCGGAAAGTGTGGATTGTATAATATTTGGTATCGCGAGACCGCCGGGTTGTGAACCCCTCCTTCTTTAAGTATATCCAGCACAGCTCGAAAAGCCAATTGGGTATGGGAGGAGCAAGGGCGCCCACAGGAAACACTCCATGACAGCTAACACAAACACAGCACACACACATTCTCTCCCTCTTTGCCAAGTTGAGTGGGGTTTAATTATAAGTTAATCCTTTGCGACACGCACGCATAATTTAGAAATGCCAAGTGCATTTGGGCAATGATGAGGAAACGTCGAGCGACTAGCTCAAATGATTAGGGAAGAATCTAATTCACCTATGAACTAAGTTCTAACCCAAAAAAAAAAAAAATTATCTATGAACTAAGCACTTTCAGCTGCGACTCGGTATTTCACTCGACTCACTCACGTATGTACGGGTTTCCTTGTTTTATTTTATTCTCAAGAATAAGTGCTCTAAGCGAAAGTACAATTAAGTTTTAAAACTTTTAAAAAATACAATCAAGTCTTAAAATTTGTCAAATTGGTCCAAAATGCAATAACTAAACATGGAAATTATGACATGGCAATACGATGGCGTGGCAACGATGATGTGGCAAAGATGGCAACGTGACGATGATGATGACGTGGCAATGATGCAACTAATTCTATATAATATATGTATGGTATTTTCGCGATTTTCTTTTAAAGCTAAAATAGAAAACTACCTAAATTACATGATTACCTAATTGAAAGTAAGAAATATAATTTCTATTAAATCCTAATTTAAATTAGCTAATTCTTAATTACTACATGATATGCAGTTCTAAACTAGAAAAAAAACTTATATGAATGCAGTACAATAAGAAAGTTCCTTAAATTGATAGCATGCAATATTCAAGCCCATATAATCCACATATTCACCTAGGAATCGAGAGGTAGTCGGGGATCCGGTTTTCACGTACCTCGACTATATGCAATTTCGAACGAGGAAGTTTCCTATCTGGGGACCGCCTAAAACATCGCATTCGAACCAAAGTTAGAATCTAATAATCTCTAGTCGGGCAATCGAATGTATGAAAATCGAATATGGTTTTAGCAATTACCTACCGGCGAGGGAGGCTTGACTAGAAGAAAGTTATACAGATTGTGTGGCTAGTGCAACTGCACACCAAGGTTTGCTGGAGCTCTTGGACGTTTGCTTTCAATTCTCAAACCAAAGCTCACGGTGGATCTTGTCTGCATTCGAATTCCCCCACCCCACTGTGTCGTTGTCGTTCTTTCTTCAGCCTGCGAATTCTTTCGCCACCCACCGAAGATTTTCTGGCCCCCCTCGCGTTTGGTCTCGATTCTTGTCTCCGTCGTGCCCGGGCGGCGGCTTGTGGAGTTCGCCTGAGGGGTTCCGTGGGGCGGCCGGGATTTCGCCGGGACCTGATCAGGATCGCCGGGGAATTGCGAGAACTCGCTCGGACCGGCGCCGGGCTGTGTTTTGGGTTGCCCGGAAGGATGTTGCTGGCTGCCGATGGCTAGCAGGGAGAGACGGGCACGGTGAGGAGGCCGAGCGTGGCTGGACAGCAGGCGAGACGCGGCGAGGCGGCAACAGCAGTAGTTGGAAAAACGTAGAAAGAACTCTCTTGTAGTGGCCGGAGAATCTTGTGCCCTCACAAGATTGAAACAATCTCCATACGGGTCAAAAGAGAAAAAGACTTTTCCTCTAGGGAATCAAGACTTTCGGCGTGTGAAAAATGCGGTCACTACAGTTTTCTAATATGGCTTCGGCCAAAATTTTAATTCGCACGAGCTTGGTCCAACTAATTCAATTAAGTTCATAATCTTCCGTGTTTAAGTCCAATTTGAAATGTTGGTTATGTGGGCTTAATGACAGTGCTCCTGATATGTAGATGCAATTTAATATGGATCGAGACCGACTCCTAATTTTTCGTATGCAATGGCTAACTAAATGTGTCGCAAAATTTAGGCATTGACAATCATACTAAAATTAGATTAGAAAAATTTAAAGGATAATTTTTATAAAAGGAAAAACTCAAGCTAAAAAAAAAAAAAAGCCACAAGCCCTTACCGGTGGCCGCCGCCCGTGGTCCGTTGACGGCCCTGGGCGAGGCCTTGCTAGCCCCAAGGCGAGGGCCAGCGGGCCCTAGTCCAGATCTAAGCGAGGGTTGTCAGCAAGGCCTCGACCAGGGCCGGCGGTGGCACTCGCCCACCTTAGGGGAAATAGCCGACCAACTAGGACAAGCCCGAGCTCCGTTCCATTGGAGAATTAGCCACCACCACATGAAAATGAAGCTTTTGTTTGTGTTTCGTGATGCATTGTCCGTTGGTTGTAGACCATTTTTTTGTCGAAAAAAATTGATTTATCTGTCATAATCAAACATGATAGGAATATAGAAAGCTTCCAAGCTAAGCAAATCCCAAAAGAGCTACAAAACAAAACAATACCCATAAAATACAAGAATACAGCTTGTGCCAATAAAGCACCCTCTCATCCCAAAAGACCGGATCTTTTACAACATCTGAAAACAATCGACGGCTGATCACCGAAATCGTCAGTAATGAGTACACACCGAGATCTTCCCCTCTAAAAACTATGGTTTATAGTGCGCACCTAGGATCGACATACTCAACATCACCATACGGAGACGGTAACAACAATATGTTGAATCACCATAGATCTAACACCTCTAAGAAACTCTCGAATTGACGGGTTAATGGAAAGACTCGATTGCACCAACTTGACAAGTTTTGGAATTTCATTGCACTTTTTTGAAAGTTTTACAACTTAATCACGCTTTGGGGACAAGTTTTGAAACTTCTAATGCACTTATCCCTTATTTTCATTATTTGTTTGTTTGGTCACGCGTACGAGTCCGGATGACGACTTTTATCGCGTCAATCAAATGCGCATAACGTGGGCTCGGGCCGGGCCTGGCCCATGAAGCCTCTAGCCCAATTAGGCGAGCTGGCCCATTGGTCCAATCCGAAAATAATGTCCAAGCCCGCTAATCTCTAGAGCTCCTCAAGCTTGGATCGCTGTATTCCTGTGGATCAAACAGATGACTAGTGGAAGCTCTTTTCGTGCTTTTGCGAGGGTGTTATCTTGGAGCAGTGTCTCTTGGTGCTGGTGCGCAACAACTAATTGTTGGGAGTTTTCTAAGGTACAACAATGTTACCATGTAATTATCTTCATCCAACGGTTTATATCTGTCGATCGGTTGAACTTTTTTTTTTACCTATTAGTGTAATCGCACGATTGACGGTCGACACCGTACGCGGCGATGTTGTACGGATTACCGTAGAAGCGTCTTTCGCCGCTGGGGATTGCAAGAAACAAGAAGTCAGTGCTATAAAGATGGATGTCCTTGATGTTCATACGGGTTTTAGGGGGGGGGGGCTATTGCTGATGATGCACGTGGGAGATTGAACTTTGAGGTTTCGTTGTGCCATCGGCAGTCATGTGAAGAAAAGAAATGGAAAACTATCGAGATAGATTAGCTTTTGGGTGGAGATGGTTCTTGTTGTTGTGTGGTGGGTGCAGCTGCAAATGAGTTTTTCCTCGTAATTTGGTACAATTTTGGTAATCTTATGAAGGATTACAGCAAAGATGATGATTAATTTTAAAAACTTTAATATTAAAAGCTAATCTATGATACATATATATATGATACATCACGTACATGAGTACTATACTCGTGTTTGTTGGAGTTGGCGAATATTTGGGAGACTCTTGTTTCTCATACCGGGCACGCTCACATGAGCTTAGGGAAACCAAAGTATGATCCGACAACATATGACCCCCGCGCACGGAATGCGGGGGTTCGGGGGCAACGCCCCCGAAACGGGGGTCCTGCTGACCGGACAGCGGGCAGGAATTCCACTCGCCGGTGAGCGGACGGCGGCTCCGCTCGCCAGTGAGCGGGCGGGGGCTCAGGGGTAGCACCCCCGAAACAACATCGGTTTTTTGGCTTATGTTTTAAGTTGACTCGTTTGTTGTGGGATTAAAGAGATTCAGATAGGCTTGGGCTTTGGGCCCCATTTTAAGTTCTATATATTGTACTCGTATGAGAGATCGTTGTAACGAGTGGTTATAGTTGTAAAACCTAAATATCATAATGGAATTCCTTTGCAGGACGTAACCGTATTCTAGGCTGAACTCGGGTAAACTCGTGTGTCAAAATTTCTATTATCTGTGTGATTGTTCTGATTCGGTTCGGATATAACCCCATCAGTGCTGTCCCTTTCCTTATCTTGTCGAGAATCTTGTCGACCTTCCTCCATGTAATTCAACAAAACATTTAGCTAACCCTAATGATGTTCTGCTCAACTCGGAAGGAGATGGAAAGAAAATTAAAAGGGGTCGAGGGAATTACAATGGGCTCTTCGTCCCATCTTAGGTTACCCTGTGAAATGTCATTGCTCCTCTTAGTTTCATCATAAATGATGCATTTACCATCATCATCAGCCATCTTCATCATCGTTATTCTTAAGCAAAATGAGCCATTTTGGATTGAGAATGCAAGAAATCTAATTGTAGAATAAGGAAGAGGTTTTTTTATTCATTTTAGAGTTGGGTTAATATCACGGAAAACCCCAAACTGGTACATCAGTGACAAATTTATCCAAAATTAATCTTTTGACCCTCAAAAACCCAAAACCGATACACTTTTGACAAATTTGCCATCCGTTAAATTTTTCCGTCAAATGTCTGAGTTGGATGACATGTGGCAATTAACGGGTGTACCAATTTAAAGTTTTACCGTAAGTTGTCACAAGTGTAACAGTTTGTGATTTTTCGTGATATTAATTCAATTTAACGAAAACTAACATATTGTAATTTTGTCACAAATGTATCGATTTTGGTAAATTTATCGTAGATATGTCAGTTTGAAATTTTTTGTGGCAATTAATTTTGAAAATTTTCGTGATATTAACATTTTTAGGGTTGGATATGCCACTCTTGACTGCAATTTACTTCAAAGTACATCTGTTATTACACCTTGCATAGGTATCGATGTAGATAAGTTACTCTTGGAGACAAAAATCAACGTGCGTGATTCGGACACCAAGGACGATTTGACTAAGGACCGACCGACCAGTGCACGGCTGTCGTTCGATTTGCTCGGCTAATCTAGACTTTACCCACTGACGGCCAACGTTTGATTCCTGCTTTGCTTGCGCAGAGAGTCAAGGAATTCAATTCACACCGTTCTTTTGACCGTGCGGCTGCTCCTGCTGATTTTTCAAGAAACGAAGCATGGCATCTACCTAACGTTCCGAGGCTTCCATCTGCTGGCGCCGAATCCCCAAGTGTGGACCGCCGGAACAAGAAAGAAACGCTACAAGGCAAAAGACCCACAACGCAAAATCGGGTCTTTCTCCTCTTCTTGCTCCCTCTCGTCTTCCGAATTCGATACCCAGTAGACTTGCGGTGCCACCCTTTATCGGTAGTGATTCGCTCTGCTTGCCGGCCGATGGAGATGGTGCAGCTGAAGCTCGCGGTTCTGGCGCTTTGCCTGCTTCTGCCTTTCAATCGAGCCACCGACGTCAGCTACTGCGGTTCAGTACCCTTTTCTTGATCGCCCCGTGCTTTGATTCCTTCAAATTTGTTTCGTGCTTGAGGTCCGGTTGGTCCAACTCGATCGAGCGTGTCGTTCGATGGGTGTCTGAGCTGAATTAGGGATTTTTTTCGCCTCCTGAGGGGTTGAGGAGATGAAAGTTCTTAGCTTTTTCGTTTTTGTGCCGGAAACTGTCGCTGATGGCGATCGCGATCGCTTGTGTTTTGACGGTATTTGTGTATTCAGAATGAAACTTTGGAGCTGATGTTGATGTGTGGATTTTGTTCTGAGTAAACAGATAAGAAGACGGAGTATGCTGTTAAGGTCTCTGGAGTGGAGATATCGCCCTCTCCGGTGGCGAGAGGCCAGCCGGCCACCTTCAGCATTGCCGCTACCACAGGTGCTGTTTCAGCTGTCTTCTACCTCTGGTGTCGCCCAGCGGATTGTTCGATATGGGTTTTATTAAGTTCGGTTTTGGTTATTAAATGTGATGACATGCACTGTTCGATTCCGCTCCTATGTTCGGTATTCCTTGTGCTTGTACCAGTGGGGATTTTTTTTTAAGCTGCTGTATTGGGATGATTGATGTCTAATGGTCTGGGCTCTTGGATTTTATTGGTCATCAGAATAGCTATTTCTTGAAGTCTTGTTGAGCATGGTTTGGAGGTATAGAAATTCTGGGATCTAGATGTCAGATAGTTCTTTTGTCGGGTGTGTCTGTTTACTGGATCTCAGCTGGTTTAAAATCCGAATGTCCTGTGAGCTGTATAAGCCGGTGATCATGGTTGTCTCCTTCGTTTGCTACATCTGGTTTGGAATTCATTTGTAAAGGGTGGCTTTTGTTATTGATACAGAATAGCGAAGCTTGGGGAGCAAATTATTCTGATTAACAAGGTTTCTTCCAAAGAGACTGAGAACTCTTTTACTTTAGTTGTTTCACCATAGTCGAAGAAAAAACGTCACACAACAACTAAAGAACTCAATTCTATTTTGCTACATCTCTAGTATGCACGTGTTTGGAAAAATATCTTGCTGAAAGAGGGCATTCTTGCTTCTGCTTGGCTTGCATTGATTAAGCTGCTCATTTGGCAAAATCTGGTCAATATCCTTTTTTCCTGTGGTTAAATCCTCCCAGCAGAAGTATATGGAATAGCGATTGCTTAAACACACTTGTGTCCTCTTCCTTTTTCCTTAAACTGACATATAAACTACCTCCTGATTTTTGTTTATTTAGGCGAAGCAATCGATGGAGGGAAATTGGTGATCGATGTCTCATACTTTGGATGGCACATTCATAGTGAGACCCATGACCTTTGTTCAGAGACATCTTGCCCTGTAACAGAGGGAGATTTTGTTGTGGCTCACTCACAAGTTTTGCCTGGATTTACCCCGCCTGTAAGTCGTTCTCTTGATGATTATGTCCGGTCCCAATTCTGCAAATTGAACACTAAAGTAGTTTTTATTTCCTTAGGAAGTGAAGGAAGCCATTGTTTGTTTTTCCATCTTCCATCAGTTGAAATTTGAGGGAAGATGCACTTTCGTTGGATAAGATATATCACAATAACAATCGTTTGATTTGTGAAATTCCGAGAAAAGAAAAGCTAGAAAGTCGTCTAATTGAAGAAATGCTACTTATGATTTGTTTTGTTTGTTTCGAGCTTTGTTCTTTATTATGGTTAGACTTTTTCACACATTCAGCCTTCACTACAAAGGTAATGCTGTGTTCTTTTCTGATGAAGTAACAGATTACGCAATGTGAATTGCGATTTCCCTTGTGGTTAACATATTTACTGTATCAGAGAACTTGACATTGCAGCTGATGGTATTAATTATCTATTTTTTCTTCATCGATCCATATTGTTGAATGTGAATGCTAATATATTAGTGAACAATATTACATAGCTGGGGTGGGGTCACGGGATATACCATCATGGCTAAGGCCCAACTTTATCCTTGTACATTCACTCTCACTTTCACTTTGCTTATGCCCCTTTCAAGGACTGGAAGCACCCTCACTACCTGGGTTTGGCAACTAGCAAATCTTGGTTTTCGTTTTCCCTATAATTGGACCTGGACTTACTGTCAATTTTATAGTCATAAATCAAGACAGCTGTTGAATATATCCTTTATTTATCAAGTATGAGAAAGAATTTCTTTATTAGTTTTGGTGTATTGCAGTGTTGCTGATAAGTTCTTGAATATGCAGGGTTCTTATTCCCTCAAGATGAAGATGTATGACGCGAATCAGCAAGAGCTCACCTGCATTGCCTTTGATTTCAACATCGCGTTCGCTTCATCTGTAGCCGAAAGCTAAATGCCGTGGAAAGTGGTTAAGTCTCCTTATGAGTGTTATCGTACCAGTGTACAAAAGAGAGTTTCTTTAAGAGTTTGTTATTCCTAGCCTATTTCAATGTTGAATAATTCGATGTGCGTCTTGTAACTCTGTCGTGTTCCGGAGATTCTTAAATTATCACTTACGCTTGTTCATGCATGTGAGATGACGTTGCCTGTGTTCAAATTCCTGTGAAACATCTCGACCCGCTGTGTGTTTCATGCGTGAATTGACCACTTGAGAGACTTGCCCGAGCAATATACAGAGGCTGAAAAGGAAAGCCCATTTGTGTCGTTGCCAGAACCTGAAACAAGCAACAACGGGGTGAGCTCTGAGCCTTAGGGTTACCTGAATGGAAATGGAGTCCATTGTCCAGTACTTACGCGAGTTACAGCAAGTTCTGAGTCCCAGTGAGCTTCTTTAGGGTTAGCAAATGGGCGCATAAATTATTTTCCGTTCGGTCCTTCACTTGTGACAGGAACATAATCGAATTGCACCGTATATGTTTTATGGCTTATTGTACCAATTTAGTCCTATCGATGTGGCTTGCACAGTAGTGCAAAACATGTTGCTGTAGTGATGATGAATTGTCCACTTTCGTGTAGTGTCATTTTTAAACTTTTGCTAGGATCTTGTTATAGATGTACTAGAAACCTAGTGTTGTGGTTCGATTTCTCCCATATCCATGTGGATTGAAAAGTGAGGCTTTGTAGCATCGTGGTGAAGTGTGAGAGATACGAAAGGTTGACGAAATTGGTTCCCGTTAGAATGGCACTTAGGTGTTTGTCCTAAAAATCCTGGAACGACAAGATGATCATCTTAAAAGATCCTTGAAAGTGGGATGGGCTTCTAGAGTTGATGCCATTCATCTGATGATGGCCATGGTGTGCGGAAATCAGTTGTTATGCTAAAGTAATCCATATGTCTCACTTGATAAACTGGATGTCTAAGCTAAAATGGGTGTGGTATGGTTGATTAGAAGGACACAATTTGCCATATTATCCTTGCGAACGATCTATCAAGAATAGGCTAACCCAATGTTCTCAGGCACAGCAAGGGCTTGTCCTTTGCCGGAAAACTTTCGACCCATGACAAATGGTATCAAAATAGGTCTCCCAAAATGTATTGGTGAATGCTAAGAAAGACTCATTGTCCCGTTTCCAACAATAACCTTTATTGGTTTGCTAAGATCGGGAGAAGCCTAGTAGCCCAAAGAAGGTGCTGGCAAGAATAGCGAAATTGGCTGGAGATGCCATACTTGTCAGTGAGAACACGAGTGACTTGAGATTCGCAAATAGTTTTGATCATCGGAAGCCAGGATGGAGTGGATTGGCCTGTTTAGTTGGGTGAGCGTTGCCCATTCCTCTAAGTCCCAAGGGAGTGGTGTTGGTGATTGGAGAACGCGGAGAATCAATAGAATAGCCTGCAATGAGGGCGTTGCAGATATTGGGTAGAAGAGAATTTTATGGTCCGATTTCTCCCATACCCACTTGGACTGAAAAGTCGGCTTTGTGGCATCGCGGTGAAGTGTGAGAGATATAGATGGGTTCATGGGGTAACGCCAAGGCATATTTTTAGGAATACAAGGATGACAAAATCATCATCTTAGAGGATCTCTAAAAGTAGGGTTGTCTTCCTATGCACAAATTGGTTAGGAGCTGATGCCTCTTCTCTAATAAGGGTCATGGCAAGGCGAATAAGTTGTTTTGTTGAAATGATAAGAATGTCCAACTAGAGGAACTAAATGACTAAATTAAAATGGGCGTGGTATGGTTGATGAGGAGAATGCAGTTCACCATACTGTCTTTCAGAACAATCTATCGATAAAAGGTTGACCTATTGTTCGGGCTCATCTGATGTTGCATAGGCTAATCCTCAACCACAAAACTTTTGGCTCATGACACTAGAATCATAAGGGCAAATTTGTCGATTCTTGAATGATATGATGCTATAAGTTGAGGTGGGTTTTATTTCCTTTATCCTTTTGCATCGGGATAATGACACAAATGGTCCTTGAGCTTTAGCCCAATGTGCAATGTGATCTCTGAATTTTTAATTTATCCAATATGGTCCATGAATTGTAACCCAATGTCCAATGTATATTTTCATATAGTTTAGGGCTAAGTTGAATATGTGCTAAAAATACAAAGATCACATTGAACAAATTAAAAGTTGAATGACCACATTGCACATTAGGTTATAGTTCAGAGATTATATTGAACAAATTAAAAGTTCAGAGACCACATTACACTTTGGGCCGAAGTTCAACAACTAACTGTGTCAATTTTCCCTTTTGCGTCTATGTCCTGTAACTTGTTTGGGTAGCATTTTATGTTTTCGTTAAGGAGATGTGACAAAATAAAAAATTTGACCCAAATATTTCCTCAAGTCGTATATGGATTGGGCAAACTCCTGCATAAACCTTGCTTTGACCCGACACTGACGAAACAAAGCTCGAGTAGCCAGATTACTTTTCGGTGAATTGATTTGCGGTCCAGGAGATTTTAAATGGAAGATTATATTTGTACAGTCATGATGCAAAACATACAATAAACATGCTGTAGGGAAGGTTCCAAATTGGTGAAAAGATGGACTTGAAAAGCAACTTTGGACTAGCAGAGCAAAGTGAATCCTGTCTGTGGGTACAATCATGTCTGCCTTGCATGACATTATCTATTAAATCACACCAGAAGCTTTTTGCTTTAGAAGCAAAATTAGAGAGCAATCAAAGCACACAAGGCCACGGAACATGGCTACAGTAGCATTTTACCCTTTGAAGAAGAGTCGCGCTCACCGAAGCAAAGCAAAAGATCATCATGATGGCCCTAACTTGGTTGGTGGAGGGTCAATGTGGGACTGTGAGACAGAAAATGAAGGTATGGTACATGGGCCAGTCTCAAGCTCCACACTAACCGGCGTGATCATGCACCCAACTTTTCGAAAGCAAAACTGATTGAGCCTTTTCTTAAGTGTTCACTTTCCTCCCAAATTGGCCCAGAAGAGTACTCATGGACCTAATGTTCCTTCATTTTCCTAGCAGCCATTGTTAGGGACAATTTATTTGCCTTACCTCAATCATTCCATTCGATCCTGTCTAGGTGATAGACTTACTTCTGAGCATATCCTTTGCAATTCATTTCACTCAAGGCATGACAGGAATGAAGGGAAGGTTCTTGAAGAAACTGAAGCTCATTTCATCGATAAGCACTCTTAAGCGCGGGTTAGTGGTTCAGCTAAGCCATGCTGGGAAACTATCTGACCAGAATGGTCGGTACCCGCCACCGATTCACAATGAAGGACACCAGGGGGGTGAAGTTGACAAACCTGTCGTGCAGAATTGCATTACGGATCTCAAGAATGGCCAAGAGGAGGTCTCATCCTGCCTAGGATCAGCAGCAACGACACCCGCCACGGATGACTTGGAGGACGAGATCTTCTCAGATGCAGAAGGCGACAAAGAATTCCCATTTTCAGCACTAGATGTCGCAACCGATAACGAAACCTGTAGTCTTCAGGCTGATTCTGTCCCAGGAATAGTGAAAGAGCAACTCAGGATAGAGGATTCTAGGGACTACAAGGAGCACTATCACCTGTCTCTCTCGGATTTTCAGGAGAAGTGCCCGCCAGGAGGAAGAGATTCGGTCATTTTCTACACTACGAGCTTGACGGGAATACGGAGGACGTTTGAGGACTGCAATGCTGTCCGGTTCTTACTGAGGAGTTTTAAAATCAACTTTCATGAGAGGGATGTGTCGTTGCACCTGCAATACCGGGATGAGCTGCGGAAAATCCTCGGCCAGGGAGTGATCCCTCCAAAGCTGTTCATAAGAGGAAGGTACATTGGAGGAGCCGACATAGTCATCACACTGCACGAGCAAGGGAACTTGAGGAAGCTTTTCGAAGGGATTCCACTTGACCTTTCGAACAGCACATGCGCTCAATGTGCCAATGTAAGATTCGTGATATGTTTGGCTTGCCACGGAAGCTGCAGGGTGGTTAGGGACAGGGAGGAGGAACCGTGGATTCGGTGCCTCGAGTGCAACGAAAATGGCCTGATTAGGTGCCCCGCATGTTGCTGAGAAATCTTATGCAGATGGTCTGCAGTTGTGCTCTTCCTGATGATGTATAATACCTAGAATTAACTGCTTACGTCAAATTAAATCGATGCAGTTGCATAATTTAGCGCTATTGTGTGAACTGTGTTTCATAGGTGGTTCTGGCCGAACTTTGAGTCCCTTTATCCTTGTATGCAATCAAGGCCCAGAGAAGGATGATTGCCATTGACGAACAACAAATTAGATGAACTGATTAGGGACCGAGCGTTCATTATGTAGGCAAATATCCCTCTTTTTGGGAGAGAAAAGAGTGTGTTTCGTGTATTCATCTGCATTAAGCACCACTGGTCTTGGCATCAGAAGGATGAAGAAATCTTGCAATTCTTGCTTATGACAAAGAAAAGACCAAAACTGATGTATCTATCCTCTCGTGCAAATCTTGAAATTGTGAAGTTCAATTAATTTGGTAAGCAATGTGGGATTGAAGTCTTCATTCATCTAGTCTGTGTGTAAACTTGACTTTTCACTGTTTGGCATAAAACGAGGTGTTGTTGATCATATCCACACCCTGCAGCTTTAGCATAAAGGGTTTGACATATACCTTTTTCCACATTTTTTCATGATGAACACATGTGGCCATTATTATGTTCTCTCATATTTGTTCTGTTTTGGCTTTACTTAATAAGGAGAGTAAGTGATAGCTTAGCTTGCCAGGAGACCAACAGTCTCCAACCTCGGAAGAAAACACTGAACAGTATCCAATCAAACTGTATTGCGTTTAGGGAAACAGCATGGACATGGAAGGTCATAATCATGGGGAGGGACACTACTTATGGGAACATTTAACAGCAATTGGGAGTCGGATGTTGAATTCGCAAAATGACAACTAAGAACCCTACCACTCGTAGATGACATCAAGGCCAAGCCATAGTGGTTCTTTTATGATGCTGTGAGGACATAGGCTTATTATTTCTCTTCCGTTAAGTAGTTACATACCATGAAATGCCAACTTTAACAACATTTACATGATAAAAGGGTGAATGTATTCCATGAATGAGTACATTTTACAGTATGAGAAGTGAGAACAGTCCTTTGGTATTGTAAGTCAGAAGATCGTATGTTATGTTCATACTGAAGCAGACAGGAAAATTTCGGTGAAAATGTCGAAACCACTTTCTCTGCTCTTTGGGTGATTAGAGGTCTGATCTTACCATGCTTAAAAACGACGAGAACATCCTGTTTCGATGATCTCACTAAAAATATTTGTTTTCTTTGCATAGATTTGCAATTTACACGAGTGAAACGCGCTTCTATGTTAAAGCTTACATCAATCAGCTGAGAGTGGTTATGAAAGTGTCAATATCTGAGCTGATTTTGCCTTTTACGACTTGGGGTTTAGTCAAAGCTTTCGGACAGTCTAAGTCCATACGCAAAGGAGAAAGCTGGTCATTAATTCCTAACCAAAACTCCACAAAGTGAAGGTGGGTCTCCTTCTTCCAATCCTGTTCTCTTTCCTTTGCCAGCTTACTTCCAATGAAAGTGGTGGACCTCTCTGCTAATCATGCCACCACGTTAGGTTCTTTATTCATGGGATCGGAACTTTTCTTATCCTCTCCCTTTTCTTTTTAGATACAGTCCAATCTCTCTTCTGCGTCCCAATGATCGACTCAAATTTGCGGTGGAGACACAAAACTGTATGTTTCAGAATGCCGATGAGCATATGTAAACAGCATGAAGCTATGAGCTGCTAGTTTTGAAATGCGAAATTGGCGAGAAATTATTGTAGAGAAAAAGATCTTGATCATTTATTGAGTTATAGAAACACCAAATGCGCGTGCGCGCACTGGCATGTGTAGCACGGAAATCATCTTTTTGTGGGCCCAGATTGGTTTGAATGAACTTCATCAACCTTGCTGAAAGAAAATTTAAAAAAAAAATGGGTTGCATGTTAAGCATAATCCAGAGTCTTTATATCTGTAAAAGCAGCTGCTAAATCTATAACAAAGCAGAAGGTAACTGAACTGGCCTGCAAAGAACAGCATATGGATCATATACTTCAGTTCAGACACTTCTAAATCAAAAGCTCATAAGAAGCAGACATGGAGGGAATATCCTACTGGCTACTACTACTCAAAGAAACGGTCTCGCCTCCGTTAAGTCCTCCAAATTTTAAAGTGACGGCTCATGCTTCCGGCGAAATTATGTGAGCACGTGGGTGAGTTGTTCAAATGATTATAGTTGCCTCAACCTCAAGACAGCAATTTTTGCATAGAGACCATTCGACTTGAATAAATCAAAGAGAACACTCAAAGGGTGGCATCTGAAACGGTATATCCTGAAAAAGTGCATTCATGGACTTGTGGAGTCGCCTGGGGGACAAAAGACGACCCTTTTGTGGATACATTATTTTAACGAAATTTAATTGATCGTTTACTTTTTTTGATAAGCAAATATATTTGCTTGTAAAGTAGGCGGTGAAATTTCTTCAAAACAGGGACTACATAGGAAAGAATCTTCACATGCCCTCATTAAGACCAAACATGGGCAAAAGGTCTTGATCAAGGGCTACATAGGAAAGAATCTTCACATGCCCTCATTAGACCAAACATAGGGAAAAGGTCTTGATCCCTTACAGCTTGCAATGGAACAGCAAATAAGGAAAGGAATATCTACCTCCAGACCATAATCTTGAGCATTGGTCTCTCTCATTCCAAATGATCTGGTGAAGGCAACCTCATTGGGAGGAGCACATCAAATTGATAAAAAAAAATGGAATGCGTACAATGATTGGACAATTTGGGAATTCCCAATGTCTTTAAGCTAAAAGGCATTGGGAAGATGCCTAACAAGAGAACTGCTCCCAAATAATACAGAATTTAAAAAGCGGATTGCGCCGAATGAGATACTCAAAAGACATTTCATCAGTCTAGAACGAAAGAGAAAACCCACAAAAAAAGCAAGCAGATAGTTTCAGACATTGGAAATCTTAAACTTCTCATTTCTGGGCGAGAGTTAAAACAGACATCCTCTATACACCAAGCACGACCTCAAATTAGATTCCCATGGTTAATCATGCAACACCCTCGACAACTTAAAACATGTCAGTAATTATCCGTTCAACTATTCACAGGAAGCACCGGGGCAGGCTGCTTCTGCAGTTGCACCTTCAACAGCTTGCGGCACAGCTGCTGTGACCTCGGCGGACGATGTAGTCACGGTCAGTGGTTGCAAAAACCGCGTGTAATGGAATTCAATCTGTAATCGGTGGTGAAGGGGAGTTGATGCCATTAAGCCTTTCTTTATATCAACTTGCAACTCCCGAAGAGGAATCGAAGCCAAGAAGCTCTTGATATACTCTTTACATGACTCCTTACCCTGACAGACGATTTCCTCTGCCTCCTTAGTCTTGGTCTGCTCTTCGGGCTTGAGAATCACAGCCCCTTCCGCCACAGGACCCTCTTCCTTGGGATTGACCTGGTCAGTTTGCTGATTGTTCTGATCAGTAGCACTTTTGTCCTCGGTTGGTTGAACCGTGTTTAGCAGCTTGTGAATAGTTGTACTGCAGTCAAATTTCAAGATGTAGGCCTGACTGCAACCCTCATACAGCCTCTCACCAAGCGTGTCAATTATATAGTATGCTTCTGGTTCAACCTTGAGGATGAAGAAGTGGTCGTTCCAGCTGACAATATAAAGTTGGGGTTCACCATTACTAGGACCATCTGATCCAGCACGACTAACCTCATCCCAAATGTTATCGAAGGACATAGCACCATGTAGAAAGTCGAACCTTCCTTCATCCATACCCTCTGGATGGAAAAACCCGATAAACGACTTCTCAGGAACAACGGAAAGAGGACGGATCTTGGCCTGAAGAACTGTATCAAGATCAAAGTGCTTATCAGGAAATCGTTCCCTATATGCTTCATTATCGCACAGATTCCTCCACTCTAACGATCCATCTCTGATGAGACTGTCAAACTGGGACTTAATTGGCATCAAATCACGATTTGCTTGGAACCAATCAGCAATTACAGCAACAAGGGCGGTGCATGCACTTTCACCGGCGGCACGCTCGCTTCGCTGGTCAATGGAAGCAAAGAAGACTTGTGTTTGAAGCTTCATGAGTCCATCACGGCTTACAACCTCCTTTCTCTCCCAACTGCCAACGGCAAAAAAATCATCTCCAAATTCAGACACCGATGACCGATTTGCGGAAGAATCTTCTTCAGTCTTACTCCACTGTAAGAAAAGTTCACAGTTAGTTCAACGAAATATATAAACTAGTTGCTTCTACTAAAAAGGACAGCATTAAAAAAAGTTAACGACTGAATAATCTTTTCGGTACGCCAATGAAATTTCCTAAAGATATGGGCTTGACCAGCAATTCTTTTGGCAAAAAATCTTAAAATGAAGGCAGAAAAGATGTCCTAAAACTTTCAGAAGCAAATTCTTACCCCCAAAGAGAGAGATTCATCTGAGCTAAGCTGGCGACGATCGTAATCAATGTCATCCCCGCCTTCCTCTGCATATGCCTTCTTCAACAAGGGCTCCCCCTTTGCCTTGGGAGACCTGAAGCTCAGCTTCCTCTTCCGCCAGGACAGTATGCGTCGCTTTGAACCTTGTGGCTGTGATTGTTCAGAGACTGAAGCAAAAGGATCCTCGATATTTGAGCAACCCACATCAGATTTTCGATGACTATAATAGATCCAATCTTCAATTTCACCAGAAATTCTTGCATTGGAGTAAAAGGAGCCTCCCGCACAATTTGCATAGGCTAGTGTTCCATAGCTACATGACTTTCTAATGTTGGAGTTTTCCTTGCCTTCATCCGATTCCTCTTCCTCAGTATCATCAGGGGAGTCAGAATCAAGTGGATAAGTGTACTCTCCATCTTCACTCTTGGCAGAACACTTTCCATCGCTGCCCTCTTCATCAAGACAAACCTTTTTGGCTCTCCTGGCAGCCATGTAATCAGTAAATAACTTCACCTTCTTAAGACCCGCTTTGAGGGCAGAAAGTTCATCTTTTTCGGCTGAAACAGCTTCCCCACACTGCTGTGGAGATTGACTAGGCACTATTGATCTGTCGATCGGGTTTGCAGCTTCCTGAGAGGTTCTCAGCTCCACTAAATTGAGAGATATCTGCATGGTTGACAGGAGAATTAGTTTTCACAATCGAGGAACTAAAAGATGATGAAGCATAATTTTTCAAGAAATGAATTACGTACAGACAGCAGCGGTGGAGAATCCGTGGAAACACCAGGGAGTGTGAGAGGAATACTCAGCTGAAATTCCTTTTGTTCCACAGCAGAAGCGAATTCTGAGAGATTTAGCGATGCCACTCCAACGATCGGAACTTTGTTCTTCAATCCTTGGTTCAAGCCCTGCTCAGCAAACGCAGATGAAGCTGTCTTACAACCATACTCCGTGGGATTCTTTTAAAAGTTAACACAGCCATGGCGCTGCACAAATTACTCTTTCTCTCTCGCTAAGAACACGTTTTCTCAGCCATGATCGGACATGAATTGAAAATGATCGCCACAGTTAACTAATTTGATCAGGAAAAAGGTGGCTAAAACCAAGAAACTGCATCCAGACAAATAATTCTGATATAAAAAAACAGCTTGATGGCCACAGGTATAATCTAATCTAGAAGACAAAGATTAATCACAAAAAGTTCACGTAACTAGGTGAACTGAGCATCTGCCAAGTAAATACATGAGCAAAATCAGCCCTCAATTTGTCGAGAAATCAACAGAGGGAAGAAACCATGGTCAAGGAAAACGACAGATTTTGCAAAACCAAATCCAGGATTTAATTCCTTCAAATAAGCAATCCAGTAGGTATGGCAATATCCTTCAACTGGAATTTCACGCTTCAAATTCCATGGAATAAGCAATACCAACAACAATTATCTTCAAAGTGACAACCTTTTGAATTTCCAAATCCACGAAACCATCAATCCAACTAAAACTCATCAAACAAGGAATTTCCCCCAAAAAATCAAAACATCAGACGGATACGGAAATGATCCAGTCATCCCCACGCAGGTCCATGCGCAAAAACCCCCAAATTTCACTATGACCCACGCGTAAGCGAGCCATTCCTCGCAAATTAGCCGCAAAATCAAGCCTGAAAAGGGGGAAAGAAGCACTCCACAAAGAGAACGCCACAAAACCTACGCGGAGAAAATCAACTCACGTGGAAGACGGTGAAGGCGATCTCCCAGGGATGAAACGCGTTCTCCTTGTAGGCCGAGAGGGTGCACACGCTCGCGAACTCCTCGTTCCACAGCACCACCCCGCCCTCCCCCGCGCGCTCCTCCCTCGTGAAGTTCCTCTTCACGGCATTGCGGCGCATCACCATCAGGGCCAGCTTCGGCCCCTTCCACCGGACCTCCACCGCCATCATCCCGCCCCCGCCCCCGCCCCCGCCGCCAGCCTCCGGCGCCGGATCGCAGCCCTCGAGCCGCTCCACCACCAGCCGGGCCTCGTACTTCCTCGCCGCCAGGGGCGGCCACGGCCGCCACCGCCGCATCATCTTCACCACCATCCTGCGATGGGAATGGCAGCACGTGCTTAGGGGGGGGAGCTGGGGTCGTGCGCGCGCGAGAGAGAGAGAGATCTTCGAGGAGGAACAGCAGGTGCGGATTCCGGTGCTCCGAGACGAAAGGTCTAGAGAGAGAAAGCTGTAGAGAGAGAGGGAGGGGTAGAGAGAGAGAATAAGCCGTTATATGTTGAGCAGAGGTTAGAGAGAGAAAGGAGAAGTCGCAGAGAGAGAGAGAGGGGGAGGGAGAGGAGGGGGAAGGTGGTTAAAGATTTAACCGGAGGGTAAGGTCAAAAACGACCACATGGGGTTTGATTTTCTTCTGTTTTTTTTTCTCCCTCTCCTGCTCCCCCTTATTTTCTCCCTCCTTTTTTTCCTTTTTTATTTTTTAATTTTTTCGGGGGTGTTTTACAGGCTGGATTTTTGGGATTCTCCCGGGATTTTTGGATTTTCTGGATAATCTGGTTTATTTTGTAGTTATCCGACCTGAAGAATCCAACACGCCCGTTTTTACGCACGCTCGCGGTTTTTTATCTTTTCCTTTCTTTTTTTTTTTTCCTTTTTTTGGCACCCAATGAAGTGGGGCTGGGAAACTGACCCGTGCAAAAATGGAAATAAATCGATTTTTTTTTATCTCCGGATTCCCTACATTTAAAGAAAAGAAAAAAAAATTCCGACCCATGAACCCTTAAGTTCCCTCCTGTTCTTTTTCTTCCCGAGAAAGAAGGAATATGTAGAAAACTTATAGGGAGATCCTCCACCATATCGGGAAACTCATTTCCCTATTTCTCCTTGAGCTATTTAAGGACTTATTCAGGTCCAGATTCTCTATATTTAAAGGAAAGAAGAGGTCCTGTCAAATTCTTAAGGTATTGTTTAATTTTTTAGCAAAACATGATAAAAAAAATTGCATGTGAATATACATGTCGATTTTGAGAATTTCAGGGGTTTCGGATTTCAAAAGGAAGTTAAAGCTCGTGCGATTCCAAAATTAAGATTTTAAGTAAAATTTGAAGAACAAAGTCAATCCACAGAAGTGACTTTCTTGTATACCTCTCTCGTAATCTATGTATTATCCATCGCAGGTGGAATACGACTAGTTATTTTGGTGAATTGTACATAAATTTTGAGCTTCGCTAGGGAGGGTTCCTACACGCGCGAGTCAAGATTTACACGTGCGGATGTAGCGATTGGTAAAACAACTTTAAGAGATATATTTTTATTTTGGATGTTATTATGAAAATTTGTCTAAGAGAAAGGGTTTGATCGGCTTTTATTTTCATTTTTTTAACATTTTTCAGGTCGCATATTTTGATTTTTTTAATTCAAAACTTCCGAAATTTTCACGGCATTTGAATGTCGACAAGTGAATTCGTAATTGAGATCTTGATATACGAATAAAATATTTATTTTCAACCCAAAAATTTTCGTGATTGATTTTTTTTTTCGGTCGAAGATGAATCCATGTTCCATCGAGTAGTCAAATGAGTTTTCTTATTATGGAAAATGACACAAATGGTCCACAAAAAGACTAAGTTAAACATGCAACAAAAGTCCAAAGATCATATTAAACAAATTAAAAGTTCAGGGATCGCATTACAAATTGAGTTAAAATTCATGGACTACTTGCGCCATTTTCTCTGAATTATCTCGGTGAAAAATCTCGAGAGAAGATATATAGAGGGTTGATCGAAATTCTAGAATTTCAACCTAATAAAAAAAATCAAGAAAGTTCTAGACGCGGATTTGGGAGAAGGAGGACCAACTTTTTTTTTGGTCAATTTTTTCATTGTTTTAAATTCGGATATATTTTATTTTTCGCTTTTGCTTAGGAATATACGCGGAGAAGGGGAAACCCAAAGACCTAATCTTTTCGGGTAAAGCGACTCCTTGACACGTTAAGTAACATAGGGATTTTAAGACACCAATATTAAATACTTGGCTTTTGCTTTTGGTGGATAAGACCCAAGTGGAGTTCACACACCATCCCTCATTTTCTTTCTCTTTGTTCTTCATTCCTTTCTACAATCGCGAGTCTGCATCGCGCATGCAAAGTGTGTGTAAATCGAGTACACCACGGTCGCTAGATCGTGCGAACCTCGCAAGAGTTCTACCAAAATCAAGGGTTACGATGCATCGTACACGCATGAACACGAGGCACCCGGGTCTTATTTCATGGCCATCAAACACCATACACCTCGTTTTGTGCCTTCACTTAATTTGATTTTGCCCTCTCCCTCTACCTTTCTAAGACCAACTAATTTGTTCACTTCACCTGAAAGTCTAATCTTTGATGATGACGGAGGAGATGATGATACACAACAAGGACATAATACTCTCTTGCCCCAAAAGCATGTATTGTTGGCTGAACCTAATTTGCTATTCAAAGGACCTAACACGGTCAACGTTGCCATGGGCCAATCTTGCCTCCAATGCTTTCCCATTTACACATGCACATAAAAGGGGGTCATGCCCATCATCATATGAAATCATTTTGTGTCCGAGGGTGCTCCAACTCGTCAATGATGATGATAAGTCAACGTTTAAATTGGTCCAGCCATTTTTTAAAATTTTTGTTTTGCTTTTTTTTTTGGGTGTGGATTATCATTTTACTTAGAAGGTAAGTGATGACTTTATTGACTGAATGTGTGAACCACATGTCACACTTTTTCTCCTCTTGTTTTGGTGAAGGAAGCATGTGGGATTTTGCTTGATATGGTGGGCAGAGACAGGTGACTTTCTTGCAACTGTGGGGTGAGTGAATTGATGAGAGGGACATCCACAAGTCATTTAAGATCCCTTTGTCCATTTCACGGGGCACCCAATCTCTTTCTCAGCTGGCTTTACAGCTTGGATTCTTGAGAGGGCTGAAGTTCTAGAGGGCCTCTTGAAATTGTGAGTGGATGTGCATGGCCTTTGAGTTCAATGTGTTGGTTTGCACGTTCTGAAACTTGAAAGAGACCTTCTGTTAATCTAAAGGGATAATGAAATAAATGATTCCTAAAATTTGGCCCAATATGTAATATTTTTTTGGACTTTTAATTTGTTCAATATAACATTTGAACTTTACCCTAATGTGCAATGCAGTCCCTGAACTTTTAGTTTATCCATGTGGCCCCTAAACTGTTGGTATATCTCATATTTAGTTCTTGTATTATATGAAAATGTTCAGTATTGTTCTTCCATTAATTCAAATTCAGGGACAAGATTAAGCTTTTTCATATAGTTTAGGGATTAAATTGAATATGTATAAAAAGTTATGGGATCACATTGAAAAATTTAAAAGTTCAGGGACGATATTGCACATTGAGCTAAAGTTTAGAGGCCACATTGAACGTATTTAAAGTTCATAGACCACATTGCACATAAAAAAACAAATGTAAGGGCTTGCAGCCCTTGTTGCTGCCGACTGGCCTCGGCTAGGCCAGTGACCCTCACCCGGATTTGGGGGAGGGCCACAACCCTCACCCATTCCGAGGAAGGGCCGCGACCCCCGCTAACCATTCCTCCACCATCGAGGGCAGCAGAGGTGCTACCCTTGCCTGAGTTTTCCTTTTTTGTGTTTTTTTTTAAGTTTGCTTATTTTTAATATAATATAAATAAAATTTGTATTAAAAAATCAAATTTAGACCAAAATGATGTCGTTTTAGTATTTCATTTTTTAGCCACGTTATTGCCACGTATGAGAGATAAAGTAACTTAAAAAAAGACACGTCAGCATTTTTCATTGGCCAAGTTGGACAAAGTGAACGGAAGAACTTGATTATACCAATTTGATAAATTCTTAGACTTAATTATATTTTTTGAAAGTTTTAGGATTCAACTGCACTTTCTTTAAAAGTTTTACGACTTCCAGTACACTTATTCCTAAAATAAAAACATTGGCATATGAGTATGTATCATTGAGTATTTTTCTTTTTCTAATCTATTTTCTTTGTTATTTGGCCAATGGTTTTTTTTTTCTTGAGGAGTTTGTGTTGTATTCTGAATTCGGAAAGACAGTGATCGGCTGGCCACGTTGAGCTTAGTCAGATATGCAAAATATAGGCATGCACCATGTTAATATTATATAGTGGTTCTTGATAAATTAGAGAAAAACCTAACATGATGAGCTCATCATCCAGACTAAACTCCGATAAATCGCAGTCGGTCCTCCCCATAGAAAACTCCAATAATATGTTTTCAGAACGAAACCCGTTTCATACAGCTCATAGCTTTCGTGTCTTTTCTTTAATCACGATATTTTCCGCTCAAAATAATTCCGAGGATCGGTTCCATCGCCCTATCAATGAAGATTTTATCTAATGCGCATGGAGGCTCTATCCTCTAATAACTCAAACTTATTAATTATTTTGACAGATAAATCGACTCTTTGTACGAGTTGTGAATAAATAAAATGGGTACTTATTTAGATAGAAAGTACTCAACTATTAAGTATAGCGGAAAAACATAGTTAATTTTCAAATCTACTACCACGAATCATCATTTTTTATTACCAAAGTTTGGTAAATTACGTCGAAGCTGAATAGCTACCATAAAGTCGAACTCAAAGAAGCTCGTACGAAGCTCTTGTCACTTTCGTCTCCATGCCTAGGCAAGTTACTTCGATATGGCCGAAACCCTAACCCCTGATGACAACAATGCTTGCTTTCTCATTGCTACGTGCTTGTATTCTTGCCTGATGCAGAGAGGAGGAAGAGCCAAATCAAAAAGTCCAATTTTCCGCCCCATAAATTACAGACATTTCCCTGCCGGAGTCCATTTATTTAACTGCCTAATTACAATTACCGATTCTAATAAATTAATATAAATACTCGGTCATTCCCTTCGTCGGACGCGAGATGACTAGAGAGAAAAGCGACTCGCTTTCTGTTTGCTTGGAGGTGTAATTAATCGATCGTATCGATCTATTCAATGATTGGCTAAAACGACCTTTGTTCTACGCCGTCCTCGAACCAACAACATTGTAAATGCAAAATGGGGTCACTCCATTCGTGGACAAGCATAACGACTGCCGGATCTCAAGGCACAGAGAGACGACTTTCTAGACCGTAAAGACTCGAGATTCGACTCCCCACACTCTCGCCCCGTTTCGGATTGTGCTCGGTGCGGAGGATAAGAGGCGACCTCCCCACACGCTACATCCCGTGACACCCGCGCAACCTACAGTGCCCCGATTTCCCCCTCGACGTCTTGATGCGGACTCGCAAGAAACGGGATCACCACATACTTT